TCCCCCATATTTTGGCTCTTGTATAGTACGCCTTGTCAGTTAATGGTTTGTCTTGCATCATCTTATCTCCGCAAGCCCATATTGCAACCTTATTTGTGGTGTCGGAAATCCACTTGTCAGAGTCTTTATTTTTATACTGTTCACATATTAATGCATCGTCTATATTATTCTCGTATATGTTTTGCGTCAAGAGATCCTGGGCCGCTTCGCAGTGGTTCATATTAATTTCTAGTATTTTCACCTTCTTGGTTTTTTTGAGTGCTGCTGTATATGTGGGGCATTTATCTGATGGTCTATGTTTGTTCTCCCACTGTGTTTATTTTTTGTTTGATTTTTGCGCTGCTAGTARGTGCTTTGCTTCCTGCGCATGAAGGCTTATGGTTGTTTTTTGAGTGCCTGCATATGCTGGTCTGATGCTTTTAATATATTCTTCACTAAATAGCCGAATATCTTCAAATTCTGTACGAATTGCTTGTGCTATATCCTCTTTCGTCGTTATATCGTCTAGGTCACGCACTTCAACTGTAGTTTCTTGCGTTAGAGATCCTATTTGTGCCTGATCTCCTAGTATCTTCACTATATCCTCTCTATATTCTTTGGTACTTCCTGTCTGCGCTTTCTTTAGCTCTAACAGTATCTCTCCTTTAGCTGTTTTTTCTATTCTTTAACATTTTCGCCAAGCACTTGCAGTTTTTCATTCTGCTTAACCGCCCGAAGTATGTCTGCATAAGACATGTCTCCGGTTTTTGCAATAACAATTGCTTCTGGTCGCAGGCGTGATACGATATTTTCCCTCTTTTTGTTTTTATTTTTTTGGGCTTTACTTGGTATCGTGATCCAAGTATCTTCCCTTGTGGCGTGTGTACGCATATAAGTATGTTGGTTTGTGTATGCATTAATTGTCCGGCAATGTCGTACACATATGCATATGGATGTACGGATATACATATAGCATCAGTGCGCGTACACTTTTTACTGATAAATGATAATATCACGATCTGAATTTGAATTGTACTTACATATGTATGTAACTATGTGCTGATATGTAGATAGGTATGAAAATTGAAATGAAATGCAATGTACATATAATATTATTGTAATATATTATAATAAGTTGTTTAGGATATTATGGTAGTATGTCAAAATGTACATATATACATATATAGCATGTCTACATACTAATATGTAAATTTATAATATATTATCAAACATAAGAAATATTTAATAAATAAATCTTATTTGTACATTAACTGCAAATATTGTTTTAAGAATAGGATAATTTAAGCAGAATGCTATAAATTATGCATATATTCATGGAAATACGCAAAATGATAATCATATCAATTAATATCATTGCATGTAAACGTATATAATTATATGCAAAAGGCTAACATACGTCTGCAATAAGAATGTGTATTTCTGAGCATAATTTTCATTGAATGCTCAGCTCTGTTCACGCTCATCGCATTTTGTTAGCTTTAGTGGTACTCATTTAACGTCGTAAACGTGTGACAACATCGCAAATTCGTAATATCGTAAAACATCTGTTAATTTTTACATGCATTTTATTTTACGACAATCTTGCAAATATGCGAGACCGTTTTCAGTGGCAACCATAGCATTTTGCGCAATGCGCAATCAGCTGGAAGCGTCTATTGGTGTTTTAAAAGAAATGGAAGCGGTAAGTAAATTCATAACAATTAATTATTGGCTTGTATTATTAATATTTAATTAATTATTTAATAGAAAAAAAGATTAAGGCTAAGTTGCCAAAATGTAATCATCTGTATTCCAATATAAGATTTTTCCATTTTGCCTTTTTCTTTTTAATACGTTTGTTGGTTTGTTTTACTTATAGTGGCTTAGTGAATATGGTCCACCTTGCTTTTTTTTACTTTATCCGTATTAAGTTATTTCTAGTCAAATAATTTATGTTACTTGTTTATATAAATAAATTGAATTTTATTTGGAAAAATAAGTAAAAAAATTATTTTTAAATTAAGATATTTATTGATTAAACATTTGTTCAAAGATTTGTCGTCACCTTATCTCCCCTTCATTGGTACGAGCATATGGTTCCCATAACGACTCGTCAATACTGTGCTCCGATTAGTCAGGTTGGTAATCGCAATAATCGCCTTGTTTTAGTATAAAGTTCTGTAACAATGCACAAGAGAGAATCCATTTGTTAACTTTTCTCATACCATTTTCATTTTTAAATTGTAGCCTTGAGCCTTTTAAACTACCAAATTTTTCCTTCAGCATTCCAAAACAATGTTCAATTCGAATTCTATATCGACTGAATGTTTTGTTAAAAACATTCCTTTGGCTTAGTGTTAAATTTCTAAAATTTTCTCTAAATGGCGTTATAACAGTACTCGATAATTTATACGCACTGTCACCTACAATCCATTCGCCTTCTCCAAAAAATGTATGTGCTTCAATTGACAGTTCGCTGTTATTAAAAATACTTGCATCCTGAACGCTACCTGGAAAGCCTAACRCCAAGTGCCTTATTTGTAATCTATGATCGCACACGCCTTGAGCCTTAACGGAGTAAATATGTTTTCGTGAAAAGTAAGCCTCTTGGTCCTGTAACGGTTTTTCTGCCAATGGAATTTCGGTACCATCAACGTATCCTATGCAGTTAGGTAACTCACTCGAAGTTTCTAAAACGAGTTTTTTGCGTTCTTCCGTATTTGGCCAAAATAGATACTGGTCCTTATATTTCAACAGCGCATTAAATTTGCGTTCAGTTAAATTCTAAAATATAAAAACATGTTAATGTATTATGAGGAAAACTGACGAATTCTGACCTGAATGATACCACCATGACTGATTAAAAATAAACCTGCAATCGTAGAAAGAGTAGTTCCTTCACCGCTAGAACCTAAACGATACAACACAATTGCCAATTGCGTTTTAATAGGAAATTGTTCGCSCGACCGAATTTTGTTGAAAAGATTGTCTCCCTTTATTAGATCCTAAATAGCATCGAAAGTTTTCCAAGTGACACGTGTCATCTTCTTGAATCGGTTTTCACCAAGTTCCCATAAAATTTCCTCGCCTAAAGTCAATACATGCATTAGGTCCTCCATTATTTCATCTTCTTTACTTTTCCTCTCTTCTGCAAAACAAAAAATGTAGTCATTTAAAACAAAACCAATTTAATTTAAATATATGCCATTGTCCTCACAAAAAAATTCAATAATCCTTAAATCATTTAACGCTGCTACTTTCAATAACTTCAAAAGATTTTGCTTATTGTTGATTATCGGCATTTTAGGTCTTTTATTACCTAAAATGAAAAAATGACAGAGTTATGGAAATATTGCCACAATTGCCAAAGAGCGCTCATTTAACTTGTGTTGCCATATTGCAAATTTACTATTTTTATATAATTGCGAAGTTAAATGAGTACCAGGCAAGTACTAGCAATAGAAGCGTTAAGAAAATTGAAAAGGCTTTATGAATTGATACTGAATTTGATATTACATTATTTTGAAAATGTAGTTACTTATTATTTCGTACTTTATTTATATAATTTAACACAACCGTGTTAATACTCGTTTTACATAAGTATATACCGACGACGGTTTCATCTCGGTTACTTTAAATTTAGTAGCGCAAACGACTTTGCACATTATTTAGATGTAATCTGTATACATTTGGTATCAAAGGGCCTAAGTATATATGTTCAAAGATATTTAAGAAAATAAGGTGTGTTTATGCGACTTCATGGCATTTCGTCACTCAACACAAAATTCATCACGACCCACCACATTCAGCACACAACATAACAGTCAGCACACAACCTACATTATCATATACGCAACCCCACGCAACAAACCAACCACGCTACACACACAACATACGTTATCGTTTTCACCACCTAATCAATCAAAAAGGATTGGTTAGATCGGGATGGCCCTATTCGATTTCTACGCCCGTAAACGCTACATGCATTTCGCCAGCTCTTGAATTTTCCGTCGAAGTCTTGGTCTAAGTTTGGAAGATCCTTTCGGTCGTGTTTGGTTGTGAAATGGCAGCAACAGTGAACAATTTAATAAAAAACGAGAATAATGTAAAGGTTTTGAACCATTATTATTATATTATATTATTAAAAGTACATTTAGGAAAAATAATAATAAATAAAGATAAATAAGACATCACACAAAGAAGACAAAAGGAGAATAAACAAGAGAAAGAACGAAGAGTTGCACACACATAAATAAGTATTGCTACCCATAAACCCTTGGCGGAGAAAAAGGTAAGTCCGTTCCAATTAAATGTTTAATAAAGTATTTATGAGCATATGTATGTTTAAAATATAGTTTGAGTTGTAATACGAAATAACCCAACTGTTCTATTCGGTACTATTGGTACCGAAGTAAATGAAAAAGTACGGTACCTGCCTATTGCTTATTTTGTGTTTCCAAGCACACTATAATTTTCCAAACTAAAAAAAAAAAAACTTTTTTCCAAGTCAAGTATTATTACTTGCATGTTCTGGAGATACCCCTTGGGCTAACAAAGCAACMAGCAGGATCGCCTATAATAAATAAGCAAAGGCGAGGAAAAAAAAAAAGAAAATACAAATGCACATGAAATGTACACATATAAGTAAAGGTACTAAATTGTATAAAAGATACATGCATACATATGTATGTGCATATACATACATACATACAAAAATCTGTGCGCCATCAAACTGTGCGCGCCAAATTTTATATTCCGCAATCTATATACATATGTACATACATACATAGACATATGGTACATACATAACTCAATTGTTTAAAAAAAAAAAAATAAAAAATAGGTGAAAAACTGTTTCTAAACTACCTGCCTTCAAGATTACTTCGTGTCTCCAAACACACCACAACAAAAAAAAATTTTCTAAGTCAACTATTCTTATTTGCAAGTTCTGGTAATACCCCTTGTCTAACAAAGCAACAAGCAGGATCGCTTTGACATATAAGCAAAGGCAGCAAAAAAAAAAAAAAAGTGGATATTTATGTATGTACATACATATATGAATGTATATCGCGATCTAACTATTTCTCGTTTATCTCTCTTACATTTTCTCTCTGTATTAATATAACGTACCAATAAAAAGGTTACAAATTTATACATATCTACATACAAGTAATAATATATAAAATACTAGCGTTACCCGGCGCGCTTCGCAAGAAATTGATTGCTTAAAAGATTTGATTTCTTAACACAATAATGAAAAAGAAAAGCAATGTTCAATTTAATACAATTGTATACACAACATTTTTTGTTTTATTTTGTGGTGCATAAATAAACAAATTTTTCGTGGCTCCAACTCTCGAACATGCAACGTACAACTGACCGTGAGAAAAGCGAGCTTCCTCTAAATTAACTCCACACAATTGGAGCGTTTGCCCTTGGGCTTTGTTGACGGTCATAGCAAAAGATAGGCGAACAGGAAATTGAAGACGTTTCAATTCGAATGGCATGTCCGTTTTTATTAATGGTATTAGTACAACTTCACCTTTTGCTTTGCCAGTGAGAATTGTTGCTTGAATTAAATTTGGCATCAATTTCTTCACTGAAAGTCTCGTCCCATTACATAGTTTCGGTGCATTAAGATTTCGAAGAAGCATAATCGATGAACCAACTTTCAAATTGAAATTATGCGGTGGCATGCCTGGTGGTTCCAAAGAAGTTAAAAATTCAACCGGATAATTGACTGCGTCTTCATCATTCATAGCAGTATCAATGGATTTATACGTTTCCGAATTACCTGGCAATTTTTCCTGGATGTGGAAATTGATTTCATTGACATTGACATTTTTTGGTGCTAAAATTGCAC